GCTTGCCGTATGTTCTGTGGCGACTAACCGAAGCGGCCTGAGTCAGTACGGACCGTGCGTACACGCCTCTGTGGCTCCCAAAAGGTAGCGTGAGCAGAACTCGCTTCATCCACATTGTCGGTCTACCATCCTAGTAGCCTACGAAGGCCATGCCATGCATTAAAGCTGGGATGGAATTTCATGAATATGTAGAGGTAGTTATGATGTGTGCCTGTTCGATGTCGTTCGGCCTAAGAGTGTATGTTGCTATGCTTGAAAGTGTGCGCTCCCCTCGGCAGTCGGAGTGGCTAGATAACGAATGAAGCGAGATTTTCTTCTTCTTCTTCGTGCGTTTCGTCTTCGTGCGTTGTTTTAGACGCACCGACTACGTGGGCCGCAGTAGCACAACAACTTAGTTTGTTTTAAGTGAAAATAGAAACCAACTCCATTTAGGCTACACAGTACAAACGCAGCTGGCAAACGCTTAAGTCGTTGCCCGACAACGCAGACGCATACACACAAATATTGGTAGATAGGTAGGTAGTGTACAACCGGGTCAGCCCATCCGAATCGAAATGGCCATCGAAGACGTGCAAAGAGGAGGCCCCATACGCAGTTGTCTATGTAGCTCTAGGTGGAAAATGTCCTATGGAAGTGATTCGCAGCCTTTCTGTCAGATGTACTCGATGAAGGTTGATCTGAAGATTGAAAGTCTATCACTGAAGCAATACGAACCCACGGAATAGATAGTTCTAGCACAAACAGCTGATACCATCTCTACTAGTAACTTTTATAGGGTTGGCCGCTTAAAAATACTAATGGATTCAGGAGTCTGTGTTGATTTTCGCTGATGTAGATTGAGTAAAAGCAGGCAATCTTGTACGAATAGCTAATATGGCTCGCTTGTTTGAACTCAATCAATTGTAGATAGTAATGGACGGTTTGACCTAATTGAGCCGACAAACGACTCTTGTGCTCATATATTCGTGATTGTCGCCTTCATTTCTCCAAAACTTATATATAAAAAAAAATATATATATATTTTTTTCTAGGGTTTTCGGTAAGTTTAGTATCGAGAAGCAGGCTACCTGTTGTGCGCGGACTGTGCCCGTATATTGCTTAGCCGGCCTATTTAGCAATCATCATCCTCTTGTACTTTTAGGCACCGCTGATTTTCTATAGTTGATATCCTGTGGCGTTCGGTTCGACAATATTTTAGAATGATATATTGGATTTCAAAGATCTTCCGGATCGTTGTTTAATTAACTTTCCCATCTAACTGCAATGTAATATGATACGAGGAAATTATCAGCCTTGGTATGCAAACTCCTATTATAATTAAGGATATTTTCAAAATAATCTATTCTGTTTGACCCAATGCGGCCAAATAGAAAATAAAATGGCCCTAATTTCATCTACTAATTTCATCCCTAATAACACCATCGCAAGGCGTTTCGTCAAATGGCTGGTTCGTCAGACGCGAAATGAAGAATGTCTACTAAGATCTCTAAGATCGGCAGAAGCCTGAACTCAACTTTCGTACTCAATTATTGTTGTAACTAAATCAATCTACTGATAAAGCGACAAGTAGTAGCACACACTTTTTCAAACTTGTCCATGACCCCATCACTGTCCCTCTATGTAATGTAATAATAATGTGCCCCGACCCAAATACTCAAACGGTCTACAGTTACTATCTATCGTTCAAGTTTAATAACGCACTCATCAACGAATACACCTTGGATAATCAGAATCTAACATACGTAGAGGGCACTTCCGATCTCATCCCATACCATATATTCCCGACATTGTTTGCTTGGGTGTCTATTCAAGATTCCAAAATTCCGTGCGTTGGAAAAGATCACAGGTTATACAGTATCATAGCTTATGCTACTTTCTCTCTACAACGATCCTATCTTAGCGCGCTCGGTAGAGTACGAGCGTGCAAAATGTCCTGGTGCAGTTTCAAGAGAGAGAGAGAGAGAGAACCATTTTCATTTCTCGGTCATTGCGATGGGAATTTCCTCTTGGCACACGACAAATGCTGACTGCGTACGCCTAAGGGTATTGATGTAACCAATGAACTGAGACATCAAGCTAAGCTACGACGATGCGTTGTCCTCTGCTGTTCGTCAGCGCATACGGTTTCGCCTGACGCTTAATTAGAGGTAAAAAGCTGAAAGCAAGATACCTACATATCCGCATCAGATGCACGATGCGTATGTAAACCTGGATAGCTCGTTTGGCCTTGGTTACCGTACAAGCCCCCGTACGCGGCCTGACTGCGCAGCTGTCTGCTGGACAGCCACAGTGGCGCTTGCCGTCTTATCATGCAATCGAAAAATTAGCATTGGCCTACATTTCAAAGAAAACATACATATCCTGATGGTTTACAATACAGATGCTGAGCGGCGTCGGTAAGAATGTTGCGGATAGGGCTGCGAGCAGGTAGGTCGACGGTGTCCAATGGCGAAAGAGAACTTACAGTTTTGTATATCAGAGCCAGAGAACGACGAGAAAAAAGAATATTAAGCAGTGCACTGGTAGCTAAGAGATTTTACCGAGAAACTATGGTACGTACATGTGACATCTTTAAACAATGCGTTCAACCATTTTGCTGCAGGATCGTATGCTCATTAATTTTATTCTACTGGAAAAGACGGATATTTACCGCCTCGACTTAAGCCAACGCTTAACGTATTGTGTAGTGTTAATCACTCAAAAGCTACGACGTTCCAGTTTGAATAGGGTACCCCAGGTGAAGAGCTTGAATAGATCAGTCTCTGATGGGTGATGATCAATACATTGATGGAATAACGTATTCGGTCATCGTAGACGCATAAATAGGACAACTATTTCTGCCAAGAAAACGAGCTATTTAAATGGTAAGTAAGAAAGATCCATATGCCAGCCTGTCTTCGAAGACAGGACTAGGCCTTACAGGTATAGACGTTATCTTTTGCACGTTACGGACAGCAGTGGCGTAACCGGTATACTCTTCTTTTGGAACAAGTAATCAGGCAGGTGACAACTAGCACGCCGTGAACAAGACTAAAAAAACTTGTAGTCAAGGGCACCAATACATTAATGCAGCGAGATGTTAAAACTATGGATTACTCAAGTTCATTGAAATCTCAAACATTTGCTTCGTTATCAGCACCTCAGTATTACAGTACTATCAGTATTATCAAACAGGGTGAAGCACATATTTTGGAAATCAATAACCTTTTAGTAATTAAAGCTTTTCGATCAATTATTTAGGTATTTTTGTCATCTTTACCGAAGCCACTTGTCCAAATCTTCACCTTTTTGAGTTTTCTTTCTATCTTCATTTTGAAAAATACGTTTCGCTATTTATACAAAACGGAAAGACTACAGGGTTTACAAATAACGAAAACGAGCAGCATCGTACACTGTCGATGAAAAGGAACTAGTTCTATTACCTTACTATTATTATTTTTCTTCCTAACATCGTGTGGGATTTTTGATCATTCTATGCATCTTCCTTCCCGTTACTGCCGTTTGCTGGCGCATTAAGACTGAACTGAAGATCAAATCAAATGTTTATTTCTTTATCTGTCTCAATCATCCAGACAATTGCCGTTCATCGTTTGGTGGTCGATGCATACCACAAATAACTAGCGATAACATGCACTAGCATTTAATTGGCCCATGCCAGCCAACGTTAAGAAAGATCAGGTTCATTAATGAATCAATCGCCAATGCTTACCTCGAAGGTTTTCTACCCCTGCGCGGCTTATGCCGTCATCCTTAACTACCTAACTTCGCAGGCTTACGGCAGGCCTGTGAAGAAATTACATGGTTACACAGGATATACGATCACCACATGCACGAGAAACAGGTCATCCAATTCGGTCACTGAGCATATCATGTTATTTTATCCTCAAGCGTTTAAGCACAGGCTGCGTTGACAGATCTAAGTCTTAGTTTTTTTTTTTTTTTTATTTCTTAACATTCTCGCATTGCCGCTTATGGAGCTTCTATGTATGGATATCGGCGTCGAAGAGGCACGCCACAACATTGTAAGCTTCATCGACCGTGTCTCTCCCAGCTTCTACCCCACACCCCCACATTAAACACACACCTGGCCATCCGGCCAACCCGACAATCGAGGTAAGTGTTTAAACTTAGCTACTCCCTTTTCAACCACGTACTCCACGCAACTTAGTAATGGCCCGTCGAGCTGCTGTGATGGATTGTGGGAGCTAGTTGCCCGCTCCTCTCTCTCTCTCTCTCTCTCTCTCATTTTTTACAAAAGCCCCTCGTGAGGGAGTTCTACCTATGGATGGCCCGTCAACGCGGTTTTTTCACTAAGTACATGCGAATTGTCTACTTATCTACCTGCCGTTGCTGGATGCTTTTATGAAGAAAATAACAGTGAGTCAGTTGCAATGCCTCTCTTATTGGACGACCTCCTACTGTCAGGAATGACTTGCGAAATTAGCTAGAGACAAATATGGACGAGTCAAACTCAACAGATATGTGTTACGAGTGTAAAAGTATTTGCCAATGTGTTAAGAGAACTATAACAGTACCATAACACATTCTTCCATTATAGCTTATACCTATGCAAAAACATCCACGAGGGTATTTGGCATCCTATAAAAGACCGTGAACCTAATGTACACTGTGACAGCTTTCTCAGCGTGACAACGATAAATGGACAGAAATTAATCAGCCCAGTATGTTGGGCAACCTTTCTTTAACACGATCGGTTCTACTTATTCGTTTTCTATATAAAGAGTAAATATCTGCCTGACGACACCAATCTTGCCTGTTATCATTAGGTTCATTACAGGTGATGATACGAAAAGGCCGTCTTCAACGGTTTGTTAACATATGCCAACCTGCCAATCGCTGTCGTCTCCTGGCCTGGCGTACGTGTTTCAAGGCTACGTTTGAGAGGCTACTGAAGCTTGCTGTTATTGAGACACATTGACATTACTATAAACTCGTTCTAGATAACCAGTTACATATGATTGTTCTACCTTCGAACTCACCATCATCAGAAATGATGCCTAGAGACTCCTTCGCCATGACAACTAACAGCACAACGCTAGTAGGCCACATGATGTTGAAATTGTTTGGTAAAAAGCGCATGACAGCGGTGGTAACAAACGACGCTTGAAACCTCAGCTGTGACAAATTCCGGCCGGCCTTCAAGGCACGCTGGGACTTGGCACCTTTTTCTTAAGATATCACAAAACGCCACATGCACAATCACGCAATTATAATCGCCTCAGCCTAGAAGATCAAGTGGTGTTCCAGGTTAATGGACGTTCTGCTGTGACAACAAACGAGCGAGCCGGCGTGACACGACTGGAAATATTGTCACTTTACACTGCATTCGTCATCAACCACATGTTCACATAATATGGTACAAACACCAACGAAGACTAAATGTATGAGGTACTTTGTCACTATTGTTTTCGTTTGTTCGCTGACGTTCTCGTCGGGCGGCCGCCGAGTCATTGCCAAAAACCACCGTTTTAAGCCCTGTGCGTTTGCTTAATCCTGCTCGACAATTTATTCCGTAGTATCCCCCCTGACGGTCCGCAACGCGTTCCGATAAGAGGCAAAATCCTGTGGACTCGAATTCTAGGAGGGGTTCAGTGTCAACGACCGATACATACCGACCAACGTCACTACCAACACGAAATTGCCTAACTCCCAGCACGACGATCGATAGCGATCCGAACAGACGGACAATCAGTTGCGTTCTGCTGTTGACTCTTGCTTTCCTTTCGCGCTACTAACACCACTGGCGCACCACTATAAAGCGCAATCCTCAACGGCGCTAGTTGGTCAGGGGCTAACGCTGACAATCGCCCGCGCACGGTCGTGCACGCCGGCCATTGAAACTCCGCCTTCGTTTGTGCGTCTGCGCATGCGCCACCCAATTTAGGCCACGCCTCCTATCCGTAGGAATGCAGCTAAGAGAAGGTCGGCCCGGAGGTGTGTGGGGTCCGTAACCGCAGGGAGTATAGCCTTGGCAGAGCAAGACACGGCGGACCTGAATTGTGGCACAGGAACGAAGCTTTAGTACTTGGATGAACGGCAACGGCGGAAACGAGCGGTAGTAGCATTCCCGCTGCGTAGACCCTTGCATATAAAGGCCGACTGAGGCGTGCTTGCCATGTGCGCGCACCCATACGTAGAGGGCATATACTCCAATAACCAGATCACATTTAATGCCGCCGCGTTCGGTCTTGTTGAGGAACAGGAGGACAGCGAAGAAGAGGAGCATCCCATGTGCGTTTCGCTACCATTCTTGCGGGTTTCGATGGGGGTTACACCCGCAACTTTGTGGACTAAAGTGGGGTTGAAAGTGGAGAGGGTTTTTGTTTTGGGGAGGAAGCCGAAGGTTGTATCGAAGCATTGAAAAGGCGAGGAACTCAAGAACGGCAAACGACTGAATGCGACTGAAAGGGGGATCATCGACAGCCGATAGGCACTTTGCAAATGTGCGCAGAGACAAAACAGTACCTAAAGATAGGTAAATCAACAGGCGAAAGAAAACATATAAGAGTAAAGTGTTAGGTACGACACCACAAACGAACCCACATGGCTGGCCTACAACTGTAAGCTATGCGTGCTAGTAGTGGAGAATTTCGAGCTTATTTGCGTATATTTTTATCGTACACGCCCCGCAAATGAAGAGGGTTTTAGGGTGAAAGTTAATGGAGACTTCAGAAGCATTTGTGACACTGAGAGGGTCTTGCATTGGCAGAGGAGAACAGGCTTCTGGGGTGTCCTGAGATATCTATATTAAAGAGGACCGCTTGGATTACCCATACACCCCGTTGTTGTCTTCGGTGCCTTATTATTCGTTTCGACTAGAAAATTAATAGTTGTACACTCAGGTAGCCACTACTGCCGTTGTTGTCGGTTAATAGCTTTAGTAACAGTCGTCTCTGTTATGAGCCTGTTGCAGACGAATGGATCGCTCTAATAGTCACCCGATTTGTTGAAGCTGAAGCTGAGCTACGCTGGCTAAATAGTTTTTACGGGCGTTGCGAATAAGAGAATCAATTACAGAATTGAAACCCATTAGAAACAGATGGGCGAGAATCAATTCAAAACGGGATATGCATTTTTTAGGCATCATCTAAGATCCGGCGTCAACGATTCTTGTTACTCAAATCACTTGGATTATTAATTAGTTTCGCGTTCAGCCCTACACCAGTAGAAAACGCTATTAAGTTCGTGTCTGCAAGCGTTACAGTTTTTCTATATTAATATTGCCGCCAAAGGCCTGTTGAAGCCGTCACACTAAGCCTGGTAACAGACTGTAAATACCAAAACCTTTTCATCTATCTAGTAACTTAATTCAAGTGAAGTTTATTCAGTTAGTGTTTAGAAACAAGTTTCTTCTACCTCTTATTACTTGCAGCAATTTTAAAACTGTTTAAGCGTTAGCGTTACCTTGTGCTTTCATGTCGATGCAATCCAGTCGAAGTGTTCTTTCATACGTGTAGACTGCTCAGAAGGCTCAATAGCCCTAACGTTTCATTAAGTATCGATACCTTATGATTTTGTGGAATCTTTTCCTTTAGGAAAGCTCTCTTTGACAGGCCGTGTATTCAGACTGTCGTTAAAGTGCGATGGTGCATAGTGGGAACTTGCAAATCTGTTTTCTCGCTTTGCTTTTCTATAAGATTACTGAATATTTGATATGTAATTTGTACCAGTGAATTAATAAAAATTATTATAAAATGCAGTGAGCGTGGCCAAGCTACGTTATCTCGACTGCACAGAGACTCTCAAACTGGTATACTTTACCAAGTAAGCAAGAAGTGTTTTATCTTAACTTTGTTACTTTCTGTTCGCATTAGGTTTTCAGGAAGTGATACTAAATCCAAGGTAGTTTTTAAATCTCAGGCGATCTTTGGTGACTGGTCAGGTCATCTAATGTCATATAAGTCAGAATAATATGTGAGGATTGCATAACAAGTAACGATTGCTTTATGTTAAGTCAATATTTTATTAGAATCACACATTGAAGATGACTGAAGACTGACAGAAGTATTCAACCGACTGAATCACCGCGATTATAAAACCTAGTTACTTGACGAAGGGTATTTACTTCTTCAGTATGCATCTTCACCTATAAAAGGTCGGGTAGAATCTCTGCGCGCGTTTCCGGTGGCATTACTTCATATGTTTCCGTAGCCAGATGTACCTTCTCGAAATAGCCGAGTCCCCGTTCGTCTCATTGAAGTCTCTATTTGGTTATGATGTTATATACATGGTTTGGTGTTAATAGCGTATCTGCTATAATTGAGATAAGTTATTTTCCAAAGGACTCACTATAGTTATCCTAGATCGCTAATGGCTAATAAGTGGGCCCCACAGACGTAACATAATGAAAGCATATTTTGCACGCAAAAACGTAACAATAGTAGAAGAATCGTTAAAGGTCAAATAAAAAAAAAAAGGGCCGACCGCTTAATTCTCTTCCATTCGCTGTTCTCCATCACAATCGAGTCGGATATTTCGGAATATTTCTGCGGACGTTCGCTTTAAGTTCCTAAAGTTGTTCGGTCCAAAAGGCTTCTATTGAAACGGCTGTACAGGTCCTTGGTAAGTGGTGCCGAGTCAGTCGAGAAATATACGAGGCGATTATGGGCCGTTACGTGTAGTCCCAGCGCTTTCTTGAAAAAGAAGTTTTCGACTAGATTTAGATGGTAGAGGTTTTCCGTTGTGAAACCTTTCCAGACTACGCGTATTCTATGCGGTGCGATCGGAACTGTCTAGAGGTCGAGTAAGTTAAGGGCTGTAACGTGATATAGGCGATGAGCCAGTTTACTAATCCGCTAGTTTTGTACATCTATCGAAGACGTGCACGGTTTTGTCATTGACGAAAACAACACCTTATTACCGTGATTAACATAGGCAAGAAAATGCCCCTACGAGATGTCAGTGCTTGCTGTCTTACTTCCCCACCTAAACTTCATTGCCCTCGTCTTCGTGAGGTTCACCGTCGGTCTTAACTTTGTAATTGTCGTAACGAGCCGGACTAGAGCTTTTTAGAGCACCTAGAACCTGCCATGTGACTAAATTGTCGGCATTTGGGAAAAATTGTATGTAGAAAAGCCGGGGGAGTTTTGTAAAAAGCGGAGAAACGTTTTTAGAAGCACGTACGCGAAGCTATAATTTTATAACTGGGTGTCGAGGCAAAGACTGTTTTGAGATGATTGTCGAGATGTTGTTGACAGTTGCCATCTATCAGGATCCTGCACATCTTATCTTTGGAATCCATGCCACTCTGTTGGAATAGTATAGACGCCTTCCAAATAGGAGTTCTTAGTCGGCAGGATAAACAGCAACAATAAACGATCATTCACGATTCCCAGACTCAATGACGGCGGTCGAATCTACCTTCTTTTTGAAGACCACTAGTTGCATTGAGAGTGCTAAAATTGGGATTCATTAAATAGTGCCGTGTACTAAGGAGCCTGTAACGACTGGAGGCCTTCTCATTGCACGGGGTACCGAGGACTTACGTAAGCTCCCGCGTTGTAAATACCTGGCGAAATATACCTCGTTAGTTTGAGATCGCCCTTTCTGACGCTGCGACAAAGAGCGACACTGCGGGAAATATGACGACCCTTGATGCAAACTATTCGAAATTTCGGTTATTAGTTGGGTTATTATTAGTTGGTCAGACAAGCTGTCGAGACGCCCTAATGTGTTTATGACTTCTATGACTATGTCAATGACTATACATTAGCAACCAGACGGATCTCCAGCTGGTCAGAATCAATGGGCCACTACGACTCGCACGGTTCTTGACAGATTATTTTGATAACTTAACGCAATAGGTAGCACACGGGTTACACCTAAGCAAAGTTCTATCTTGGCAAGATGGCAAATATAATAAAGTCACAACCTATACAACTGTTCCTGGCAGGGTGGAAGGGCTGTACGCTGGATTGGAAATTTTTAATTAGATGTTGTGCATATGTTCTGACATTCTACACGGTCAACTGCCGCCTGAAGATCTATGGCTACAAGATATGCATGTTCATATGCTTCCGCCCTGTGAGAGTGACCGATCTTCACTTCGAAACATAACCATATCCCTACGTACGTTCGTTGCAAATATGTCTATAACTAAACCCATGTCTTAAAAATGTTGATGTGGAGGTACCGGTGATTATTTAGAAATCGTAGTCCACGAGCGCGTCTTGAAAGGCCGTAATGTAGCTCGAACTCGCGCCGTCGTGGCGGACGTTGAAATCACCAACAACCTCTGATGTGAAGGATGAGTAAGAGGACCCTGATCTTAGCCAACTGCTTCCGCCAGCACGTACGTTAGTGCTGCATAAACCGGCCGTGTGCAAATTGTTACGAGGTCTAGACGCTGGCTATGTAAAGCAATTACAACAATTCCTCTAAGCATATTAAATGCGTTGGAAGGGATATTCGTACATCTCTTCCAATCGTCTGCTATTTTTCACTGGAAATCATTAGGACAAAGGATCTATTTTAAAACAAGCATTAGAAAAGAACGGATCTGTCGAGAGAAACTAATTAGACTGACATTGAAATTAGGTTGATGCACAGGTGTAAACATTGATTTGAACGCTTGTCATTTGTAGTCTGTGGACACCCTATAATAGGTTGAATTTGACAGTGATCTCGGAGTCCTTGAAACGCAATATGTGAATATCTCCGCAGGTCATATGCCCCTGAGAACTGCATCGATATCCTGCAAGATCGAGTGGGGTTAATTCACGTAGCTTCTGCCCCTGCGAAGTAGGACTTTTAGAATCTACTTCATTCTCAATGGGACAGTGGGAAGATCAAAGCCGTGTCTATTATCACACGCGACTCCATTTAAGAGTTCCCACCTCAGCAGCAATTTTTTTAGTCTGTAAAGGAGGCTTTACTCGAAGCCGAAAGAAGAATATCTGAAGGTAAAGGAGAAAGAAAGCGGCATGAAAATAGTAACGGAGTCTACAGCTTTTCGTTTGCCGTCGCTTATTTCCCTGCACTTTATAATTTCTGCCAATGCGTCTGTTTTGTCTCTAACTCCATTTCTTTGGCAAGGTTTTCTACCAGCTCGCGTGGTTCCCACACTCGCCCGTTGTGGCTTAATGTATGACGCGATAGTGGAGATGAAGGAGGAAAAATAGCGGAGTGGGGTAAGTTAGAGGGGTAAAGGTGCTCAGTGTGGGATTCAATGGGAACGCTCACATCTTTTGTTTTTTTCTCTCTACACCGATTGTACCAGCAGTAATGGCAGCTATGAGCTACTGGCAGGTAAGTACCGGTCCTTCTCCTTGGGTTAGTTGGAAAAGCTAGTGCGCTGTTCCATCTACTTATCTGTAATGAAGAGCTGCAGAAGAAAAAGGAAAGAAGCCCTTAAAAGTGAGTCACGCCAAGACGTCATTAAAGAACGCTTAGCAGGCATGTTACTAGCCAAGCTAGGTCCGGCCAATCCGCCGCGCCACATCGTTGTAACAATAGGTGCTAGGTCCTCCGTAACGCACCAAATAGGGTTGGCCAGGATGGGTGGCTACGGTGGCCTACACGGCTACGGTAATGACACAAAACATAAATCGAGACATGGACGTAAACGTGATTAGATGACTAGGGGGGACAGGCGGTTTGGGTAGTTCATAAGATGTTGTGTGTACATTTGTTTTTGTGCGTGTGCGACGAAAAGAATAGAAGTCGGCGATTTTGTACAATTGAAGTACGTTCTAGCAGGGACAGCGTCCATGAAATACGGCGGCGGTGAAATAGCTGGTTGTGGATTCAGGCTTCCATCCATTCACCAAATTGCTGATTGCGATTGTATGCAAAACATAGTATAGGCTGGGAAGGAGCATCTTCACAGTAATTCTAGCGTTTAGGTCTCCTGCGTACAGAAAGCAATAGATGTAGAATACAACATAATTTGAAAAGAGACAATGTGAGTACTATTGGAATCGCTTTTTAACAACCTCTATGTTCATACAATTTTTACATTAGATTAGTACCGATAATATATAGCAGGGTTTTTGTGTAGCTTGGTGACATATGTGCGTGTCCGTACTTCGTATACGTTTTAGGTGACACCTGAAAGACACTTTAGTAAAGTATCATGAACAAGTATGATGATAGAAGTATCCTGTTTGTTTGTTTTTTATAGAAGCGTTATATAGAATCAAGGAAATTACATAGATATGCACACTAATTTTAGCAAAGTCGGCGTCCAACTGACTTTTTATTTGAAGGAATCTTACTGAAGTCAAGAATAGAAAATAGGCATGAGTAATGCATGTAGCATTTCCATGACGCAGTAAGATGACGCAGAGGGAGTAATTGAGTGGATGAAAATTACTGGGCCATACTTAGCTACAAACAACATTAGTGTGCCTTAATCCGACAAATAAGGACCAGCTTGAAAAATAATGTTCGGAAGCCATACGAATCACGAGCTCTATTTAGCCTTATTTTCACTCTTATCTATCTTAATTTCCTTAAACTAGTCGCATACGTCTTTGGGAGTAAATAGCTAAACTGTAATCATTCTGCCTATTATAAAAATCATATATAGCACATATTACGTATCAAAAAGGAGCGTGTACTTAATAAAATCAAGACCAAGGGGCTGCCTAACAGGCTTCGGCGACAATAATAATGCACAACGTAAAAGTAAAAAAAAAAAAAAAACTTAAGTCCGAATTAATATCTATACGTAAAG